GCCCCCCCGCCGTGGGGCTCCCTCCGGAGCAGGCAGCAGCAGCCACTGACAGAGCGGTGGGGCCGGCCAACTCCTTCCCATCAAACCCCGCGCTCCCGCAGTCAGCCAATCAGCTCGGGGCCTGGCGCGCGCCGCTCCCCGTCACGTGATTGGGTCCGGGCAGGCAGTTGGGGAGGGCGAGCGGGGCGGTTGGCTTGCGGCTGTGTCTGTGGCCCCCGCGGGGGCTGCTTGTCGTCACGTCGCAGGGGTGTATTGCTATTTGTTATGACTCTTACTTATGCAACTGTTTCTTACCCTTACTCTGCCTCCTTACTTTCTTTTCCTTTAAAGCGTGTTCTGATAATTCTTGCTGAACAGAGAAAACCCTGAAACTGGACCAGGTGGTCCCAGACCGCTGCTGGAGACAAGCGTGGAGATGACAAAGGTTGGAGAGTTGAGGGCGGAGACGGGTGTGTCTGGAGCAGCGTCGGTCCTGAAGAGTCCCGGGTTAACTGTCATCCAGCAAGCAGCAGAGCGAGTTAAACTAAACAGTTTATAACAGGCCAGTTGGCAAACCAAAAGAGAAAATTCAGTCGACCCTCCCTCCGCCCCCCCGCCGAAGTATTTGAGGCTTTTGTCACTCACAGACGTCAAAAAAGGTCATTTGTTGACTGAACACTTACATCACCAGTGTGAGGTTGACTTCAAACGCCAATGATGTTCATTTCAAACCTGTGGATAACAACATAAGCTAAGTTATTTTTTATCTTAAACTCACCTCAAGAACACTCCAGAGGTCCTGATATGTGGCCCATGAAAAACCATCCAGCCTATATTTGACTTAGATTTGAATCATTGCCTAAACAATGATAAGTTTCCTAGTCTAACCACAGGATATTCGAATGAGAAAAGTACTAGAGATACATGAACAGTAACATGGAGAAGAGTAGGGAAACTTCAGGGAAGTTTATTATTATTTCTATCACATTTTTCCTTTGTGATATGTTTTACCCAGGCGCAAATATTTTTCATGTGGCTTTTCCCCCCTATTTTGGTTAAATGCACGTGTTAAAAATTTTAAAGTTTCTGTTTTAAAGAGTATAATTTTAATTTGCTTTGTTTAAAGTTTAACAAGGTAAGCCAGTAAAGAAAAGAAATGGAACATAGTATCCAGTTGGCAAAAAATAATTCATTATACTGGAAGCTATCAGTATATTTCACTGTGAGCTGCTTACACTAAACGCTATAATCTTTGGTTACTGTTTTGTAAATAGGAAAGGATGAAGGGAAGGAGAACTAACCCCCTGGTTAGTGGTTCAGGGCACACTGAAGTCTTGTTCCACTATACAAATAAATTTCACCTCAGGAAATTTCTCCTTTCCTAAGAGAATAGGAAGAATGATTTTTCCACTTACTAGTGATTTGTTCTCTAGTTTTCCCTGAGCCACCAAAGTCCATTGTGAAGGAAAGAAAAATAGGTAGCTGAAGAAGTTGACCTAATAGTAGTAGGGAGTAGAACAATGTTTACTAGAGGATGAGGAGGGTGGGGAGAGGGGATAAGGAGATGTTGGTTAACAGAAAAGTACAATTAGGTAAGAATAAGTTCTGGTGTTCTATAGCATATTAGGATGACTATAGTTAACAATAACCTATCAAATATTTTAGAATAGCTAAAAGAATGTTGAATGTTCTCAACACAGAGTAATGATAAATATTTTGTTACAGATATGCTAATTACACTTTGTATTTATGTATCTAAAAATCACACTGCATCCCATAAATGTGCACAAGTAAAGATTCAAGAGTTCCAAAAACAGAAAAGAAAAGCAGGGGAGAGAGAAGAGTTGGTCCTGAAGAGTCCCGGATTAACTGTCATCCAGCAGGCAGCAGAGCAAGTAACACTACACAGTTTAAAAGAGGCCAGAGAAGATGCAAGAGAGTCCAAAAACCTAATCCTGATACAAAATTCCTAAGGGAATTATTGCTTTAGGAAGAGGAGAGATTCTGGCAAGGAGAAGTACAGAAGTATTTCATCATTAACTGTCTTAATCACCCAAACAACTTTTTAAGGTATCGTTTTTCAAATAAGGAAACTGAAAAGTAGAAGGAGTATGTATACTGTTTATATATACAGTGCCTCTCTTATATCAAGAGGTAAAAGTTTGTTAAGCAAATTGAAAGACATTACCAATAGGGAAATCAGCATATGCACTATATGACTATACTACAGACTACAGCAGGATTCCATTTATTGTTAAATGCTAAGTATACAAAGATAAATAAAACAGCTGCTCTAAAGCGGTTGACACTACTAGGAGAAACTTTAAAAAAATAATAAGACAATAAATATGTGCTGTGACAAAGGCTAATGGTCAAGGTTTTGAAAAAATAAGAAGACAACAGAAGCATGTGAGAAAGCCAATAAAGGTGTGTCCTTAGCAAATCCAAATATTAAAAGAGTTATGCCTCTGGAGCCAGCAGATGGCATGGTGTTTAAGGTGTGTGTGTGTGTGTGTGTGTGTGTGTGTGTGTGTGTGCCTCTCTTGGAGGGCATACATGCCCTGGAGCAAATTTTAAAATAATAAATTATTTTTTTTTAAATAACTATGCCCTTACTCATCCTAATACTCTGATGGGATAGAATCTAAGGAAGTAAAATCCGAAGTACAGTAGAGGGGCCCAGCCACAGTGGCATATACCGCTTGATGTTACAACTGCACAAACTGAGAGAAGCCACATGGGAGGCCTAGGTTGATTCACTAGCTCACCCTAAAGCTGGGCACAGTGGTACATGCCTATAGACCCAGCTACTCAGGAGCTGAGGCAGGACTGTGACAGACTGACTGAAAGTGAAAGAAAAATCTGGAAAACCTTGAAAGAGGAAAAAACTACTCTAGGCAATGGAATTCTAAATGGACTAATTCAAATAATAAGTTGAATTTATATGGGTGTCATGTGAGTTTACAGTAAGAGCATTCATTGATTTAGTCAGAGGTTAAGGAAGAAGTCACACCTGAATAGAGATTTAAAAGGTGAGAAACTGAAGAAGGGGAAAAAGGGAAACAGAGGGAATATCATGTGTACAGCCTTTTGTAAGGGAGAAATATTGCAAGCCTGAGGAAATGAAAGAAGTCCATTGTGACTGGAGCATAGACTGCAGGGTGAGAATACAACAATATGAAGCTGGAGACCAGACTAGCAGGGTCTATTGGCCATGTGGAACCTTAATCTGTTTCTGAAAAAGAAAAAAGAAAAAGTGGCACAATTTGTAATCTGTTCTTTTTTAAAAAAAAAACAAAGAGATGGAGGGGAGTTGATGTTTGGTGTCGGTGTTTTGGAAAGATCACTCCATTTGTAAGAGTACAAGTAGAGCCAGCATTGAACAAATTAGGATTTATGAGAGAGGTGGTTAGTGTTAGTAGGAGTTAGATTAGATTAGGGTAGGAATAAGGAGATGGGCGCCTAAGTGGGGGAAATGGAATAATCAGAAAATAAAATAAGAGGTCTGGGTGATGGATTTAAATATGGTGGAGCGGAGAACAGGAGAGAGGAGAGTCAGAGATGACTCGGGATTTCTGGAAGGCCCAGTGGGTGAATAGTAATGTCATCACTAAAATATGGGGCCTCTGAGAGAAAGGTTTGAGGGGAGATGGTGATTTAAATTCAGACATGGAAAATTAAAGATATTTTTATGATTTGAAAGGAAGTTGTCGACCGAGCTAAGATGTAAAGCACTAAGAAGAACTCTGGGCTGGAGAAAAACAAAGTGGTTTAAAATCTGTTCTTTTTTGCAGGGCACTTGTTTTTCAAAACACAAATATAAATAAGATGTTTTATTTTTTTAATTATTTATTTAACTTTATTCATTCATTCATTTTTAATTTGACTAGAGAGATACACAGAAAGAGAAAGAAATAGAAGGTGAGAGACCAAGCCACCAGGTCCAGTAATCGAACCGTGGTCAGCCATGTGGGAGCACCCAGCACCTTAACCACCACGCCACCTGCTGTTCCCAAGATGTTTTATTTTTAAATATTAAGAAAAGAAATTGAAAGTAGAAGTCTCTAGTTTCTCACACTTCACTGAGAATCACCCGTATTAAAAATTCAAATCTTGAGACCCCTTCCCTACAGATTCTGATTCCACTTGTCTAGTAAACTGGGGCCTAGAAACTTGGATTTTAAAAGTGATATTGGTGATTTTTACCATCAGGTTTCTGTGCACAGTGATATTCCAGTACCAGAGGCTACTTGTGCAAGAATCACCAAGATGTTTATTACAACATAGACTCTTGGGCCCTACAGACTAAAAACTCTAGAGACAGAGCAGTTGGAAGGAATGGAGAAATAAAGACAGTACTGTGGCAGGTGGTCCAAAACTTTACAGTTTGTCTTTGACAGAAGTGTCCTATGCTCTCCACTGGGCAGCTTAGTAGAAAGTGCACATCCTTTGTTGGATGATGCATATTCAGGTAGCAGGCAGCCCTTGTGGACTGCAGAGTAGCTATGCTGGCTCCTAGCCCAGGCCTCTTGACCTGTCCACTGAAAGTACTTAGCCTACTCAGATATTCTCTTTTTCTACCACTCCTCTCAAAGTCCAGACTTCTCTCTCTG